AGGATTGCTGGAGCCCAGCAGGTCGAGGCTGTGGTGACCGGGAGTGGCCACTGCACTCCAGTCTGGGTGACAGTGAGACTCCAACTCAAAAAGAAAAAAATGTGTTACTGTACTTAGCACATGCTATTGGAAAAATGGTGTTGATATGATTGCTTGATGCAGGATTGCCACAAATCTTCAATTGGTTAAAAAGTTGTATTGTCTGTGAAGTACGTAAAATGAAGTATGTGTGTGTTACTTCGTAAATTTTCATAGTGCTTTAAAAGTATTTTTATTAAAAGTGGTAGTTGAAAATGTGCTAACAATGAAGCAGAGCTATATAGTTTTGTAATATGGCAGTAGTGAAGTATATTTCTTACGAATGTATTAGTACCAATGTCTAAAGCTGTTAAATTTTAATTCTTAGCTCTTGGATAAAGGTCAAAGTGAACAGAAGCATTAATTTTATGTAATAAGAAGTGCTACTTCCAGTTAATTTATATTTAGGTTGCATGATAGTTATCTGCAATGCAAGTTTTTCTTCTTAAATTGCTAAATTGAGGAACATTTCAAAAGATTCTTCTCTTTTTATCAACATGATAACTTAAACTTTGTGGAACTCTTGGGCTGTTGCAGGTTGCGGCTTGTGAACTTTTGCATAGCATGGTTATGTTTATGCTGGGCAAAGCCATACAAGTGCCTGATGGGGGGCAGGGAGCCCCACCTATGTACCAGCTTTTTAAGCGAACTTTTCCTGTGTTGCTTCGACTTGCGTGTGATGTTGATCAGGTAAGGGAATGATTTTTGATCTGAAACAGTTGCAGAACTTCAGAAGATTTTGGTCTAGTTTAGAGGTCAGCAAAGCTTGCTGTACATTGAATCATTCGTGGATCTTTAGAAACAGTACTGCTTCCTGGCTGCTACCCCAGACTCTCTGATTTGACAGTGAGGAGCATGACCTGGGGATTGGGACTTTGTGTGCTATGAAGTTTGGGAATCACTATTCTAATTAATGATTACGAGTGACTAGGAATCTGAAGTTGAGTTAGCTGTCACCCCTCTCATGGATAGACAGTCTTTGAAGGAGTGAAGAAGAGATAAAGTGAAGATTGCTGTATAGAGTCACACCAATGTTTTTGGCTTTTCAGTGCATGTAAAAGTTGTTTTGAAACTTTATTAAGTGGTGATAACATTATGTTTTTAAAAAGTACATACCTTAATTTTAAAATACTTTATTGCTAAAAAAAGTTACTGTAGTTAGCATATGCTGGTAGTCATGGATAAATCCTTTACTGCTGACATGAAGCAGAAAATATCTTTTCAGATATGACATGAAGCAAAAAAGATAGACATATTCTCAGTTTATTTTATGAAGTTAGCATAACCCTGGTAACAGTGCATACATAAAAAAGAAAATGAACACAAAACCATTTGTAAAGATAGATGGAAAATTCTTCAGTATAAATGAGTCAGTAAAATCAGGCAGTGTGTTAAGATGTACCACAGTTAAAAAGAATTTGTGGCTAAAACTGGAAATTTACCACAAAAGCAGTTTTAAGAAGCAGTGATCCTCTCGGTAGAAGCCTAAAAGGCATTTGGCAGCCCCTGGAAAACTAGGAATAGTTTACTATTGTCTTCATGACCAAGAGCATCTGTCTGAATCTCACTCCGAATCACCCTCTGTATGAAGCAGTAACACTCCCTTGCACTTCTCCCAGCACTGGGAGTGGTGGTGTTGCTGGGAGTATAGTTGCTTCACATGCAATGAGTTATCACTGTGTTTAGTATCTGACCCTCTTTCAGACTCCAAGTACCCTGAGGGCAGGGCTAGAGCATGGTGTTCTCTCCTCCGTCTCCAGCAAATGCCAGTGCTTGGCATTTGGAAGGAAATCAGAAGACATTTTTTGGCGTTAAGACATCAGTATCACTAGTTATTTGGGAGATTCTAATACTGCAAGATAAAAAAAATGATAGAGAATAAATATTAGAAAGGGAGGATAAGTTATTATTTTGAATATAATTTCTTTTAAATGACCCAAACATAGCAACTGGTAAACTCTAAGAATTAATAAAGGGGGAAGCTGATGAATTAAAACACAGAATTCTCTCATATACCATTCCGATATAGCTCATATGTTAGTACTGACCACTTGGAAAACATGTTTACAGCACCCTGTTCATAACAGTATAAAAAAAATGTCTAGGAATAAATTTCAGTGTACAAGCAAACATATTTTATGCATATACTATATATCTGAGTTCCTATTGAAAAAATGTCAGGTCTTATATCAGTTAATAAATATAGTGAGATTTTAGTAAAAAGCCAAGAATTAATTTTATTTTTGAATTAGAAAATGATTAATCTGCGGAATGATTGCTAGAACCTAACTCTTTCACATTTTGAACGAATGATGTACTGAAGGGAGTTTTGTCCTTGCAGACGTTAAAAAGGGACCGTGTGAAGTGTAAGAAGCTGAGCTAGTGTATAGATAGCTCAATGGGAGAGCTGGGTGCTGGGAAGTGGGTTTTTGTGTATATGTAACAATTGTATTTATAGTAGAAGGAGCTTTTTTTTTTTTTTTTTTTTT